CTCAAGGATTGTCACCTTCACGCAAAGGACCGCCCTTGTCAGCTGTGATGCGCGCAGTAGCACCGAACTTGGGATCGCATTTGACACATCGCCTGATGTAACGGCGGCCGGATGCATGACTGGCGGACACCAAGCTATGTGCTACAAACGAATAGCGACTGCTGTATAGGGTTCCGACTAGGGGTGTGCTGCTGGAATATTAAAGCGGAGTACGATTTCCGTATTGGTGCGTAGTATTACAAGACTCAGATCGGTGGTGGTAACTGTAAAAGGTAAGCATGATGCTTGGAGTGGCCCGACCTCGGATACTCAAATGTGGCAGAGTGCTGATCGAGAAACTTTGCTCTATATTAGTTGCGATACCGACACAGGTTGCAGCAGCAAGCGCCTCAATACCACCCTGATTCATGATGATGGCCGGATCCACGGCTCCTTCTGGTGCATTGTCGCTGCATTGAAGGATCAGAGCTATTGGCCTCGAGGCGGATGCAAGCAGAGACTGGACCTAAAGAGGTGCGACAAGCAGAAGGGTCACGGCGAAGCGGCAGAAGGAAAACAAACGCTCGTACTGCGCGTGAAACCGAGTCACCGCCGGGCCCTGGTAAAGTGGAGATGATTTTGCGGAGATGCAGGCTGGCTTCAGCTGCTGCGTCGTAAGACATTTAGCATGGGATCGCCCGACAGGTAAGTTTCATCAGTTGCAGCGCTCGGGTGAAGCGAAGGTACAGACGTGTACATGATACCCACGGTTGGTCGTGCTCGTGCGGCCGTCTTAGCTAGGTAAAAGTGATGTGGAAGCTCGCCCGCACCGTCATGGCTTGTCCATGTTGATGTACCTGCAACTTGCACATACAAGCGAGTAGGCGGCGGTGGTGTTGGCATAGTGGCGGTCTGACTGGACAGACCCGTACCCCGGCCACCAGCGCATATCGTATATGTGGAATGCCATCTTGCCCCATGGTTGTGAGCCTTTAGCTATTTTCAGTGGGGCATCGGTGTCCGGTTCTCTAGACGTGCGTCACACGCACATGTCGAGATGAGATGCGGTAGGAGGTCGTACCGCTGGTGCCTGTTTGAGTTGTGCAGTAGGACTATGAGCCGGCAAATAGTCAAGGTTGCGTCCAGCACAACTTGCAGCAGCAAGGAGGCTCACCGACGAGCTAGTGTGGCTGCTGATCGAAGCACCCAGGAGGCTTCAACGGAGCACGGCGATTGGACAGGGAGTGGTCGACGTTGAGCAAGTGGGCTCTCGAGCCGCCTAGTGAGGCTAATGCTCGCACCAAGGGTAAGGATAAAGTGCCGCCGCGCCCGCAAGAGAGAATTTCACGTTCGCATGGGCCGACAAGGAGTCTAGAACACGCATCACAAAGACAAGCCAACACCTTGCTAAGGATCGTCGTCATCCACAAGTAATGCAGCTACCGAGCCCACGAATTCTTCCTCATGCAACTTGTCCACAGCGTGCTTCACCTGACGCTTGGTTAGGGCTGCGTGACCGAGAATTAACACGTAGCCGATTCAAATCTAATGAGTGGTCTTCTGAAAGGCCCAGGACGATGGCAGTGCGATAGACATTCTTGAGAAAGGCAATCTCGTGTCAAGATTATCATGTTATCGACAGGGTAGGGCGAGCCATAAAAGACTTTCTGGGTGGCTCGCTCGCATAGTGTAGGCGATGCCGCTCATACCGCAATTTTTGTTCTGTCAACAGTCTTTGAGACGATGCAGCGCCACGTTTGAGACCCACTCGACTCGTGGGCCACCCGCTGATACGTCATTAAAGGGCTTTTCTTCCCGTGTTGCAGATTGCCGGACTGGGGCTGTCAGAGATGGGCAGCGCTTGGCCTTGACACACTTTGAAGAGTCTAGTACCCGTGCCGCGTCAATTCAAGCGATTTCGCCAGAATAATGCCGGAGAAAGCCTTCTTGAAACTACAGCGTTCACAATCTCGATTGATGAGACCAGTAACGCGCAGCACGGCTAGTAGGCACGGGTTTCCAGATGGTGTAATGTCTGCCGACGCTGTTGTGCCCAGTGCTGCTGCGTGACCTATCACCTCCCACGGATGAGCTCAAGACAAGACCATGGGAAAATGCGGGTCAGCATTCAGCACCTCGATTCGACGGTTCGCAGATTGTGTGAACACGATCAAGCGACGCTGTGCAGAACAGGTTCCGGTGACAGCTCGGTGCTTACTTTTCCTGTTAACGTATCCGTCTCGTGATGCACAAGTGGCACAGCTACGCCGTAATTTTTCGAGGATCAAAATGACCGAGGCCGTGTGCTGCAGAGTCATACTGGCTGGGTGTGATACGCGGGATGTGCTGAATTACGGGACACGGTGCATTGATTCGTTCCCTGTGGCTCGCGCTAGTTGCAATATCGTTCACTGACGCTCACATTCGGTGCACTTTGCTGATGACGGACCTGTGATATTAGTTACTTCTTCTTTGGCACAATAAAGATCCTGCGTGCTGGCGCCTGCACGAGTGTTGCCATGAAAAGCCGCTTCGTGATTGGGTTTCATGTGGTAAAAATGTATGCCATATTTTTAATGTCACTTGGCTGCAGCCAAGTAAACGTTGACGATGCATTTTTGCGTGCATCCATGAATGACACCCCATGCAAGGACCCAAGTGCAGCTTTCATATGCTCTTTTTGGCGACAAGATGCAAGCCCCCTGACATGATCCTGTTCGTTTGAACCGCCAAAAACATCCTTGCGCCGCGTTGGACCGCTGTCGATCATTCAGGCGGGACGAGGCCAGGGTTGGTCTCTCGGCGCTTCGGCTGCATCTCATCAGCCACGCGGGGATTTTCTCATTTCTGGTTGTCGAACGGCATTACCACTTTGGGCCTGGTCACCGTGGGGTCGCTCAGGGAGGTGTGAAGGCCTTGTCGTTGGAATGGATCATATCAACCCGCTTGTCATCTTGGTTGAGACAGCCGTGCTGCCAATAACGGTAGATGGTAGCGGCAGACTTCTTGAGATGGATCCTCACCACGCAAGCTCGCTGCTTTGTCACCGCGGCGCAGCCAGACTTTGTGCTTCGTATTAGTTGCAGCCAACATTTATCGTAATGAACGGATCCACTCCACCCACCGCGACGTTGAACGAAGTACCGGCGTCCTATAATAGGTTTTAACCTAGTGTATAGGCAGACTATTTGCAGTGCTAGACGATCTCGCAAGGAGAATGACATGCCACCATGTGAACGCGCGTATCGCCATGTCGGCCGCACTGTGCCCGGTGGTCAAGACTGCCGGGCGTGATGCAGCGGTTCAGTGTTGACTTGGGTCACAGCGTCTGTGTTTGGATCAACCAGCCGGTCACTCGATTGTCCAAGCCCGATGTTCGACGTTGGCAGCGTGCACATGGTTTCAAGGCGTGCCTAGGTGGAGCCCGGCGCTGGCCAAAGGTTAAAGTGCTTTTCCTCGGCGCTGCCTAAGTCCAACAAGGGTGTCAGACTCGACACAACCACAAGTACGGGGGGTGGGCGTACTTTAGGCGTAACCCGTCGTGGCGGCACATGTACCCACGCCGGGGGGTCGACCGATGGACAGGCGGCTTCTTGCGTCCGGTGTGCTCATACTGCTCAGGCGTTTGCAGCGTAGTCAGTATGCAAGGCTGATGACATGCCTGTGCTAGGCGAGGGCTCTACGCTGATTGCTCCAATCTCCGCGAGTGGCCCGCCGTTGGCTGTGTGACCTCAGCCAGTGATGCATGTGTCTGATACTGCATCGGTGCACCCATCTGCAAAGTCCCATGTCATCGACTCGCCCGTCCCCGTTGCAGGCGGCAGGGGTTGACTAGCTGCATGTCGATTTCTGGAAGACGCTCGGCTAGGAGGAGGCCAATGAAGGCATCGGAGCAGCGCCCACCCCAGATCGCGCTTGGATACCGTGGGCCAGCAGTGTGGTTTGCCGGCTGCACGCGCGACCAAGCAGGAGGTGCTGGGAGCGGGTATAGTGGACCGATTCACTCTCGCGGGTGGCAGTGATTGGCTGCGCCCACTAGCGTGTCGACTGCTGTGAAGGAGAAGTAGCGCAGCAGGACCCAACCTCGCTTTCCAACCCTTTCCGAAACTACTGCGCCAACCAAAGTTTGAAGCCCCATCCGCCCCTGATCTCGCGATGCTGCTGGCGCCGACACGGATCTCTGCTTGATATGCACCATGAACATGCATGCCTCCCACACCAACGCCCATGTCGCCCTGGAGTATCGCCGGTCCTCTTCCACTAATCATGCTACCCTCAGACGCGGCTAAAACATGACGCTGCCGAGTGCGAGCGTCCTTCAGGCTCCGTACGTACAACAACCCTAGGGCTAGTTGACCGCCTTGAGGGCCACCGCCCCATGCACACGACACTCAACCCCGGTGCGGAGCCCAGCTGAGTCGCACTGCACGTCTGTACAGGGCCTAGTCGCACTACCGCATTCTGCCATCATCGTGGCGGGCGTTGTGGTTCCCTTGTCTGCTCTCCATGAGCCGGCCGTCGTCTAGCTGCACGGATGCTCCGTTGCGCGTTGCGCCATGATACATGGTACGCCTCCCTCGTCTGCCTTCCCTGTCTTGTGATTTGGTCATTCCAAGCGTTCCTTTTCGCTTTCTGCACTATGCCTTTCGTTGATCGTTCCAGCCGTGCCACTGGCCCTAGTCGTCACAGCGCTCCCTCACCGAGCCATCCCTTGGTGGCTCCGTGTAGTCAATACACTCCCGTTCCTTGTCTGCATCTATTCCACTATTAGCTGTTCTTGAGTTTCGCTAGCCTAGCCCTGGCATGCCTTGTACCATGACTCTTGCCGCGAGGTTACGCTACCTCAATTTCCCCATCCACCCTTCCTGATGTGTCTATATCTCTTGGCAGTCCATATACCTATGCAGATGCCCCCAAGCCAGTCACGCTTCCAAGTCAGACAAGAGTGATTGCACCCGACACAACCGCCTACTAGCACACACATATACAAACCACTCGAGACATCTCCCCTTCGACTGTGTATGATCACTGCCCTCCCACCATACCACCTCGCCAACATGTCCGGCCACATGCAAACCTCACAGCTTCACCGACGTACCTCTCGCAGCTCTGGAAGCCAAGCACCATGCAGATCATCACGCGTTGAGAAGACAAAAAGCCACCACAACAGTCCAAAAGCCATGGAGAGGAGGAAGACTACGACGGAGACCAAGCTTTATGCTACTCTAGACGACCACTACAGGATGATGTTTGGCGTGTCACAGGAGGAGGAGGAAGAGCGGCCACAACAGAACAGACCAGTTAGCTGGCACCCGTCGTCGTCACATTTCCAGGCTTCACAGCAAACGAATTACTTCGAACCTATGCCCCATCAGCAATGGTCACAACATTATTCCCCATCAGACCGTGACTCTCACCACGGTTCTGATTTCTACTCCCTGTCTACACGCAACTCCATGTTCGAGCCTATGACTGGTGCTTCGACTTATGCCAACACCCAGTCAGAATGTGGATGGTCCCAACACACACCCGGCTACGTTCATTCTTCGCTCAACACTCCTTCTACCGAAGCTTTGCCCTGGTATCTGCAGCAATGGGCCCAAAAGAACCAAGCACAGGCATCTTCCAACTTCCTGCCTATTCAACATCCTGCTCAGCAAGATCAAGATATGGAAGACGACGATGGTGAGAAGCTTGTTGCATTGGGCCTGTACGACGCACCTGAGCCATCACTGAGTTGGGGCTCTCTCACTGAAGGAACAGGAAAAGGTCTCAAGCTTGAGGAGACTTGGCAACCACCGGAGGAAGAGGAGGGCGAAGAGGAGGATGATGACGCCAGCTCAGAGGCCAGTGTCGAAGAGCCATCTCCACCTTTGCCGGCAGTGCAGCAGAGCCAGCACCTTCCTGTCCACGTCAAGGCTCAAACACCTGGCAACATGGAGGGACAGAGCTTCTTCTTTGACGAGGACGAGTCGGTTACCAAGGAATGGTGGTTTCAACAGATGAAGCAGCCCACCATGCCGGTGCGGGACGCCGGGCTGGGATATGGATGGCTATGAGCCGGATCTTTGTTTCAAACGTGCGACTACGATACAGGAGCACCAGCATATTTTTTGAGGCGAATTCTTTTAGCACAGCGAGGCGTTTTGCATGGTTCCGCTTGGAACCGGAAAAGACTTTAGAGATACCCAGCCTTTAGTGGCAGTAGAGTGAGGCTTTGCATCGCTCACTATGAGGTCAGATGAACATGATGTAGTCAGATAGTAGCATCAACCAGATCAACCACATTACATCAAACTTCGATTCCTTACCCTACTGTGCCGACTTTGATTACCTTGGCTCCATGAGTCATCGAATGGTACATAGGCCTGGGCAGCATCCGAGGTCCACCATCGACGAGAAGGGAAGGTGCTTCCTGCTTCAAGCTGCCCCAGTATTCGCATTTCGCCGTGACAACGTCAATCCTCGACCTCCACAGCCCACAAGCTTCTTCAACGCTTCTAGCCTTCTCGTATAACCATGGTCCCAACGTACATTTGTCTCGGCGCAAGCCGCCATGTACCAGCCCTTAGTGTACCGAACCCACGTACTCTGCAGTGTGTAAGGCGGCCAGTACAAGACACAGCAAATCACACGTCGGCGACATGCCGCCGTCCTCCGGGCCCGTCCTTTAGGTCCTAGTGTGATGCAGATCGGTCAACGCGCAATTGTGTCACATCGCCCGGTAAAGGACCGAAGACTGTAAAATAATTCAGCAGCCTCACGAAGTGGCATGATGGTGCAAAACACGCACCCACCACGTCAAAGCGAAGCGACGCTGACACTCTGCGGTCCGACCGATCTTTAAGCCGTCACCCGGAGCGAGCCACGCAGCCCTGTGCGGCAGGTTGTGGAAGCTGCAGAATCGTCCTCCACCTCGCTCAGCACCGCTCAACATCGGCCAGACCCGCTTCAGTTGCCCTGACCGAACATCAGAGCACATTCACCCGCTAGGGCCGAAGTTTACCAGCTAACCGAATTGTTGGCTGCCACGCTCATGTTTCCATCCCGTCAAGGCTCTCACCGGAGACTAAGCAAGTAGCGCGGATTAAGATTTCAGACGAGAAAGGTTCCAGAAGATGGGGTTGCGAGATTGAGTTCTCAGCCTTGAAAAGAAAAAGGACTTCCATGGTTTTGCCGGGTGGTCCTTGCGTCATTGGCTCGATTCGAAAAGTGGTGGTCAAACTCGTAGCGCTTATCGATATGCACACCTGGAAGACTGAGCAAATTTCCTTTTAGTGATGGCCAACACGCGTTCACGTGCCTCCATCTGCAACGTATCGGCTAGCCAATCGCAGACTTTGAAGCTGTCGACTGCACAAACGCGTCCAGCTGCGCGACTACTCGAGTGCTAAATATGGAACCGCATACACGATTTGCTGTCACGGCGTGGCGCGATAGTCAGGAGCTGCTTCAGCTGCGCCAGGACCTGTACAGTCCAGAAACTAGTAGGAAAGAGAAAGCAGTTAACAAGGCAAGCTAAGATGGAATCACACGACCTACAGGGAGTACTTTTTCTGAGGTCCACAGCCACAGTGTGCTGATGAGAGGTAGGTGTTTGCTTGGCGACTACGGAAACCTGATGGATTGCCACTGCTGCTAGACTCGACAGCAGACATTGTGGATGTAGTGCTTCAAGATGCACGGGGCGGTTTGCAACACAACGCACTGCGGCTGCTGTATGCTACTGCGATATCAAGGTAGGTTTGTCGAATGTTGTGATCTAAAGAACATCCCACTCCCCAACTGTCTCTCTGTCCTGGATATGGGCGTGTTCAATGTGTCTCTAGATTCTGCATGTATTCTGTTCTTCTCTCCAATTCGTCCGATTTTCGAATCATCTCTTCTCTCTACGTTTTTGTCAAGTCCATGTCAATCCCATTATCACTTCTGTCTTATGAAGCACTGTTCACACCTTCTTTCTAACTCCCAATAGGTTCGTAACCGGCATAGCAGATACGCAAATCGACTTGACCCGCGACCGCCCCTCATGGTTTCCCCCAGGGAAATCCCTTCAACTCCCCATTACCCTCCTGGAAACCCGCCACCGCATCGTCCACCGGCACCTCCCTTCCCTCGCAGAGCTAAAGCGGGCTGCTACCGAGTCGCTCGAGTGGCTCTGGGAGTGGTACTGGATCCAACTGGACCATGCATTCAAGACCGGCAGTGCACTCGTCGCGGCAGAAGAAGATGAAGAACTCGGTGTCCAGAGCAGGGAAGCGGTGCGAGAGAAACTCCAGAGTATCCTCAAAGCATATGTCAAAGAGCGGAAAAGTGAGATCAAGAATAGGAAGAAAGACGACACCAAAGCTGCCGAAACAGCTCTGTCCACATACAATCTTCGTTTTGCTCCTAATGCTACGACGACACCTTCTTCGCACACGCAACGCGCGCTACTAGAGCTACTAGTGCAAGGAAAGATGATATTACCCACGGATAAAAAGTTGGGCAGTACCATGTCTGGCGCATTTATCATCTGGACACCTTTGTTACGCGCTTTCTGCAACAGCGTCTTGAACTTTGCGGGACTGGCTGCGCATCTTACAGGTTTCATGAATGCTCCGTCAAGAGAAATGGTGCACCCGGAGATGGATCCTGTTCGGGAGGGTCTGCATGAATGGGCACTACATCTCCTCACGTCAAAGGACTGGGCAGCCTTGAGACAAACCGCGAAGAATGATGTTGTGGCACTGACTCTTAGTCACTGTTTCTCGGATCCTACATTTTGGAATTTGAAACTGGCTGACAAGTTACTGGAGGAGGGAAGTGTATCGAATGAGAAATCATGGCGAGCAGTGCTTGATGCTGCTAGGGCGGATGGAACTGGTGAGAAGATGGATGTCGATGCTCAAGTCGAGAGCATTGAGCGGGCCTTACCGGTTAGAGAAAATGAAGGCAAAGAGGATGTGGTCAAGAAGAAGGTCAAGGGGCCAACCAAGATGCTGGGCATGTGGAAACCCAAGCCTATCGGATGGTTGCCTCAGGGTTGGGAGGACGATGAATGAAGGGATCGACCTAAAAGTAATAGGGCATTCTGTCACTATGATGCAAATACTCGATTGGTACATGATTTGGGCAGACGTAGTAAGAAGAGTACCCGTCTTTGGGTAAAACGTAGATTGTTCGACCATGTTCGCTACACAATCATTGTCTGTGACCAAGTTTACTCTTTCGGTCACCCGTTCGCATTTCAGTATCTCCCCCGGTTTATTGTACATTGTAGTCGACTTGCAGACTACACATGTTTGAGTACACATGTTTGCTCTCTCGATTTTCTTAGGCGAGAAATGGGCGGAGGGGCGCATGGGTGTCTCATGTTTTGCTCCTTGGTCAGGCAACGTGCCTATCCTATCCTTGCTTCTCTTGTTGCCCAAGCTTATATCCAGCCATGCTTCATTCTTTATAACGAACTGGGACCCTTTTTTCTTTCAGATCATGAGATCGGGATCCGGCTGCCAAAGATATAGATCCTTATCCGCAGTCGCCAGCAGGTTGGTCCTCGGATTGTAACCGACAACAGCGCTCTTGCCCTGTCCTGGAAGCTTCTCCATAGGCTCAAGCATATTATTTGGCGTTGGTGGCTTGGAAATGTCCCAGACTAGGAGGCCATCTTCTCCACTGCCTCCAATCAGGAACTTGCCATCTGGCGTAAGGCACACATCGCCCTGTCCATTTGCCGGAGTATGACCATCGGGCTTGGCGCCCGTGGTATTTGTAGTGGAGGCGCTGGGTGGGAGACGCCCCGAGGAGCCAGTTTTGCGGTAGCAGAAATGTGTCAAGTCACCTGAGAAGGCGTCGAGGACGAAGTGGCCGCTTCCGTTTGTCGCAATGATCAAACTCTTGCCGTCATTGGTGAACTCAATCTTGGTCCAGTCGACCTTCTGGCCTCCCATGAAGCGCTGCTCCATGTCGAGGATGTCGAATGTTGCAAAGGGCGGCTTGTCGTAGTTGCGCATATCGTAGAGGAGGACGTTTTGTGTAGGTGGTGAGGCGATGGCAATGACGGTGGCAGAAGGATCGTAGGCAGCAAGGTAGGGTCCATGGAGGTTAAGCAGACCTACATAGTTTGGCGATTGCAGATTCCACAGGCGCACCGTGTTGTCCTTTGAGCAGCTTATGAAATCGTCCTTGGACGGACACAGGGCGATGGAGGTGACGGTGTCGCTGTGGCCCTTGAAGTAGCGGATGTACGAGTTGTCGTGTGTGGAGAGGAAGCGGATGGTGTCGTCGACCTTTGTACTGGCATAGATTATGCTCTGCGCATGGTGACTGAAGCGCGCCAGATGCACGCCGTACTTCTGGCTCTTGAGCTCCTTGGCGTGCTTGCCTTCTTTGCAATTGTAGATCTGGAGCGTGTCGTCGTCGCGTGCGACAATGGCTAGCTCGCCCGAGTCGTCAAAGTCGAGCGAGGTGACGGCGGTGCCCTGGCCGCCAGATTTGAAGCGCTGGCAAGTGTCAGTATACTGCGGACATGTGCACCTGTGTCTTGGTCTCACCCTCTGAGGCCGGAAGCTTGTTATGACGTCGCTGACTTTCTGTGTCGGCGGCCCTGCAGGCGGTGGAGGAGGGCCTCCGCCGGGCGTCGCTGACCCAGCCATGGCAGTGTTGGTCTCCTAGTCGTGTGCTGCAACAAGTGCATTCATCTCCACCTGCCCAGTGAGCGAATCAGCGCGGGTGCAAATGGACTACACGCGACGCGACGTGGGACAACTAGAGCCGGCGGAATGCGCTGAAGAGTTGCAACAAATGGAAAGAAGTGGGTCCAGGCCGTCTTACGTAGCTGCTGATCCCGATCCGAAACCGGAACGGGTCCTCGATTATTCACTTTCACCATTCCCCAGCATTGCCAATTTGACCGCAATCCGTCTACCAGGCCAGAGTGCGCCTGCTTTCACCTGTGCTCCTAATCCCTACATACCCCAGTCTTCTTCAATCCATGGTTGCGCCGTCACACACGTCATAGTCACAGTCGAATACATCTCCCGTACCCGGGCACTTTTCCGACCAGCTCGCGCCGTAGTCGCATAGAGCTTCACAATGTCTACAACTCTTGGGTAGGTGCTCATCTCCAGGTCCCCACACCATATGCTGTATACTAATGCCTCCCGAACAGCTCCTTCATCGCCGGCGGCATAGCAGCATGCGGTGCAGTCACAGTAACCCACGGCTTCGAGACCGTCAAAATCCGGTGCGCTTTCTCTCTCGAAACGCCTGCGCAACCAATTCGTTGACGATCGCCCAGTTTACAACTACAAGGCGAGCTTAAAGCGAAGACCGACGCGCCGCGGTTATACAGAGGTGTCTTCCACGGTGTGAACGTCATCTTGAAGAATGAAGGACCAAGAGGATTGCTACGGGGGCTTGGGTGTGCCTACATCTACCAGATGACCTTGAACGGCTGCCGATTAGGCTTCTACGAACCCATTCGCAAGACCCTCACCAACGTCGTCTACAGCGACGCGGCCGTACAATCCTTTGGCATCAACCTCTTTGCAGGTGCTTCATCTGGCATTCTGGGTGCAGCAGCCGGCTCTCCATTCTTCCTCGTAAAGACGCGCCTACAATCTTACTCACCCTTCCTGCCCGTCGGCACACAACATAAATACAAAAACGCCATCGACGGTATGCGACAAATATACAGCGCCGAGGGCATCAAGGGCCTGTACAGAGGTGTAGGGCCAGCCATGGTCCGCACAGGTTTCGGCAGCTCTGTACAACTTCCCACATACTTCTTCGCCAAGAGGAGGCTGGTAAAACATCTGGGTATGGAAGAGGGAATGCCGCTGCATATTGCTAGCAGTACCGCGAGCGGCTTCGTCGTATGCTGTGTCATGCATCCTCCAGACACAATCATGTCGCGAATGTACAACCAGACCGGCAACCTATACACATCGGCATTCGACTGCTTGAGCCGAACAGTCAAGACAGAGGGTATTTTCGCTCTGTACAAGGGCTACTTTGCCCATCTGGCGCGTATTCTGCCACATACGGTATGATGGCACAACTAGACAAGACAAGCGAACTATTGCTAACCATCGAGTAGATCCTGACTCTTACACTCGCTGAACAAACCATCAAGCTCATGCGTTTGGTAGAAGACCGGATACTGCCCGCAGAGACCAAAGCGAACATGTGAGTAGAGACTGCTTGGCGGCTGTAGGCTAGACGCACACATTGCCTATACATGCCCGGCGTCAGATACGGCGTATGAGACTTTACGAGACAACATGGTTCAATGCGACTCGTAGGACTAACCGCGAGATGATGGCGGAACACTTTGTACAAAAGTCGAGACTGTTGAGAAGAAGAGTTGGATAGATACTGACACCAATACCAGCTAGCAGGTGACCACTGTATATTTTGAATATGAGAATATCCCTCGCATCACCAACTCTTCCGATTTGCATTCTTCCGCGACAGTTGGTCATCTTGGGAGAGAAGCAGTTGAAGGAGCAGATATGGCTGATGCTGACTTGGTAGCCAATCGACAAGTAAAAGCCATTGGCCAATTGTTCGTGACACGAATCGGTCGGCTGACTTGTAGTCAGATGAAATCTTGGTATGCAAATCGGTCCATCCTCGTAGGAATGAGTAGCGTGTTGGAGTTCTTTTCCGTTATCCTCTTTACGAACACAACATATCTTCTTCGCCCGAATTACCTTTTTTGGGCTGTATTCTTCACCGTTCAGGAGATACCTGGATAGCTGCCAAGAGCGGGACGGGAATGCCCTCTCGGGCCATGAGCGTGATCGTATACTAAGATCTTGACCCACTCGCCAACTGTATTGGAAAACTTCTCCGACGAATCATAATCTAAAGGAATGTGATGTCAAAGAGCTTGTCATCGGTGCCTGACACAAACCAAGTTTGCAGTCGTGACATGACTGTGTACGTGGCGCTCATTTGATTCATCGTATTGCTTTTTGTCGGTAAAGAATGAGTTTTTTTCCAACGCACACTGAGCCTCATCCTCATGCATGGCGCTACGAATGCAGTTGGGTCGTCATGCGTTGCGTCAATTTTCGGACGAGGAGCCGAGTTGAGTGCCCCTGTTTACGCACACAAAGCCGGCGCCTGCCTTTCTCGTAAACGACAAGGCGAGTGTGGAAGCCGCCGATGCGCGAGTTGGAGAGTAGATTTTGATTCTGACGAGGTTAGGGCTCGTGACTACTTGCAGTTTGACGATGATGCTGAGCGAATGAGGTGAGGATGCGTGGTTGCGCAACAGTGCGGAGTGCAGGAGATGCTGCAGCAAATGCAGCGTAAGCTGGAGTGCATGGTTGGAGTGCGGGATTGGAGAGCAGGAAACGTAAGTTTGTTACACAAACAGACGAGCAGAGTGTGAGCACGACAGCAAGTATTGCGCTGTCGTCCGCAGTGCGCCGTGGTCCGCAAAGGCGAAATGTCTTCTCCGCGGATCAAGGTACGTGTCTTGGAGGCGATTTAGATGTTTGCAGAACGGCGATCGACTTTGAGGGAAGCGACACACAGCCCGTCTGTTGCAGACGTTGTTACCGCCGAGGATCGGGTTTTACGGGGTGCTGTTTGAAAATGTCGCTCAGAGATCCAGACATATTCGTGATGGAGAGAATGAAGCAATGTGCCCCGCTATTGGGCGATCTTACGCCTATGTCGTGCAGCTTGAGGTCGAGGGGAGCCGACTGGTAGCACAACCTCAGGGTTCTTGGATCGTCGGTGCTCTAGACCCTGTCAGGCTATGATTTGGAGATCAGAACTGTCATCATTTGGTGGTTGCGTTTGCTGTACCCGCGGGGCGCTGTCATCTGCTTGCGTTTGACAGGGTCAGCCTGACTCTTCGTGCTGAGAATGATGACATGTTTGCAAGCTCTTCATCCTCGATGGCAAAAGCATGGTGTTGCTGTCGTTGGCTGCAGTGAAGGATTTGTGGCCTGGGCTGATCTGCGTCTCTTGAGGAAGAGCGACAGGGTTCTGGAGACGGGAACCCCTGAAGCTTGAAGCCTCACTTCGAATCAAGTTTGGCCATGATGAAAGCATCTCTGGAGACCTTCTCCGATCAGCGCCCATCTCCTCCTCGTCTGCTCGTGTGCGCCTCTTCTCTCAAACACGAAAAAATGTCCGCTTTCGCCTCCGAGTTCAATGCTGCAGCCTCACGAACACAACCTTGACCGATGTCGAGGCAGAATCTTATGTGGTCAATCCATAGAGTGCGTGTCTGGACCCAGTGGCTTGCGAATGCCTTCTCACGTTGTCCAGTAAGATATCGAAGTGGTGATTCCACTAGCGGTAGTGTGGCAGATGGCTACTGGGGTTCTCCGCATCTTGCCCATAGCGCTGGGTCATCCGCTCTTTCCTGCAGTCTCTCTAGCGATATTATTAGCCCCTCTCTGCACCAGACAGAATACCATTTCCATTGTCGCCGACTGCTTACTTTCCCTGACATCGACAGCGCCTCGCTGGCGAGTCATTTCTTCGTTCGATATTACAGTCAACATCGCAACGTGTGTCACGCGTATGCCATATCCGATATCGTCTTGGGCTCTCAGCGGTGTCTCGTGACAGGTCCCGACCTCGATATTGGACGCTTTGCACCCAAGCTAAGATCCGCCCTTCCCTAGCACAGTGTCGCTGGATCCACATCCATATGTGAATGTTGCGCTGCATCCGCACGGCAAATCACCTCCTCGACAGTTTGGACTAGCATCACCAAACCTCGCCACTGCTAGATCAATACTGGTGTGCGAGAATGCCGGTTCGCATCATCAGCTCCATCTTCCGAAGACAGTGCATGAGGTTGGGCAACGGAGGATGATGCCTGGCGCTGCTGAGTATCCCACGCCACACACTCGACGATTCGAGAATTTACTTCCTATTGAAGGATCAACTTTGCACTTCAATATCCTTTCACGGTCCACTATGAACCTCACCTTTCTGCCTCGCCAACCACTACGTGGATCCAAGAAGCGCACCCGAGCGGTGGCTGATATCGACGGCGAACATTCGTGTGTACAGAAGAAGAAACGACGACTTCGATTATTCCTTATCACTTCTCGGTTATCGCCACAATTCTCTTTTCCAGCAACCAACATTGTGGATCGCGGCAGCTCCAAGATTGCAGTATGGGCCAAGCAGAAGGCACTTGGGCGGAACCTGCTCAGGAAGGCCGCCATCCTGAATGGGGTACGCAGACGATTGATTCTGACCAAAGAAGCACAGAGCGGATGTGGTCGTGTACCAGTCGAGCAAGAGAGAGAACAAGCACAACTTGAATTAGCGAGGCTGGAGTTCAACCATGGCAGTGTTGACACTTACACCAGACCAGTATTGTCGCGAGATCCGTCAGTACCACCCAGTGCTGCTGTGAGGACTGGGGGCCACTTTGTAGTCTCTGGATCGCCTACAAACTCTCCGCCCTCATCAAGAAGTCCTTCGCCTACCTCGTCTTCACCAACAACAAGGGACTCCCCTGATGAGGCTGCCGTCTTCCGCTCGCCAAATGAAGCATGGTCTCACTCCGCGAGAGATACGACATCACGCCGAGACTACCTACCTATGCCGCCATCGCCACTTGGAATCTCGAATTATGATGCTTTTGATGGCGATGGAGATTCGTTCGACCCGTATGCTCATCTCGACGACGAAGACGAGCCAATACCAAACCCTTACGACGACGATAATGATGATGACGTGCCTTTCTCGCCATCTGTCGTCACCGCCGGCTCGTCTACCACTTCACACACCGGCACTACGAATGCAACCATGTTTTCCGATCTTATCGGGTTGGATCACTCAGAATCAGTATTCGGAGATTACGACCAGGTAGACGACGGCGCGGATGCCATATGGCCGAGGGTATCTACACCGGGTAGCCCAAGTCCTACACTTATGTCAACATCGCCAGACGTCTCTGCCTTGTTTGCAACATGCTTGGTTGCACCCAAAAGAACGGATTCGTTTGCCATGTCGCCTGATCACCGTCCACGCAAGCTGACTAAATCTGTGTCCCCAGAGATGCTTGCGGTGACCACTACAGCGGCCACTTCTCCGAATTTCACGTCTGCATCACCAACCATGCCGGCTTCTCCTAATTTCATACCAACAACAGTACCAATGTCACCAAATTTCTCTCTTGCATCGACGTCACCAAACTTCGCCTCGTCGACCGCGACGGCATCGATATCCCCGAATTTCTCATCATTAGCTGCTCCAGCCTCACCAAATTTCCCACCGATACCGAAGTCGCCGAATCTTAGTGCACTCGACGCATCCATGACAGCACAAAACCCATCAGCATGGAACCACCCGGACACACATTCGACAGAAGCAGGCGGATCTGTCCATACCAACGATGTGGAACAAGAGCGCAGACGGCAGAGGAACTTGATGTTCATGCGTTTCGGATCATGAGTGGTGCTATGGCCATTTTGTGTATCTACTAGATGTGTCGTATATCATGACAACAGAAAGTCTCACAAAACCCACATGCAATCGGTTTTGAGAAAAGGAAGCTCATCCTCAATGGATATCTGGAACGAAAATGACCCATGTGGTCTTACTGCCATCAGTATGTACTTGTACGATTAACAATCAAAAGCGCGGAGTATCAGGAACGCAAAAAGGACAGGCAAAAAAAGGAAGGAGCGGTTCTCTGTACCACCACACTGGGAACGATCGGCATTCGGTACGGTTTTATAAACGAGCATTTTGGCGTATGGGTGTATTCTCGTAGCAATATTTTGCATTTATCGCGTCGAAATGTACACGTCCAATCTCGCTTTGTAAAACAATTCAGGAAGAAGCATGTACCATGTGGCATATAGTTAAAACACGTCTTTCAATGAAAGATCAACATTGTAGTTCAATACTGCTGCAGAAGCTCTGAACGTGATCGATGCACCTTTATAGTGCTACCTCAACTTAAACCGGAGCTTGGTTAGAGTCATCATAGCAAAATCCGTTCCTCTTCTCGAAGAGTACAATCTACGCTTTCTGCAGCTTCGATGCTCGGTCAAGAGCTATATCACACATGGCCTGAATGGCCTCTTGACGCTCAGCTCTGATATCGCCACGGTCGATACGAGAGCGAATATTCTCCATGATTTCAGGTCGCGGACGGCCATTGACGAAGACACTACATAACCGTCAGTAAATTATCAACCGTGAGCTCAAGGGAGATTTCACATACACATATCTCAAACCCGGAAACTTCTCTTCGTATTCCTTGTTCAGACTTGCCAATTTCTCTTTCTCTTCCTCTGCACCTGCCTGCAATTGCGCCTGTTCTTTCCGGCTCTGCTCGCTGTCTACTTTCTTCTCGCCCAACCTCGGATGCGAGCAGAGTATCTCAGAAAGCTTCTTCACATCGCTTTCATCAGTTGACTTGGCCAGCGCAGCGAGTTGCGCATTGACAGCGGTAATCAAGATGTCATAACTGGGGAAAGTGGCAGACCTCAGCACGGGGAAAGTGATCTCGCGGAGGGGAGGCGATGGCTCAAAGAGTAGGTCTAGAACGCTTGTGAGTTCGGATTCGGAGGCATGGGGGAGTGTGCTAGCAGCTGGGAGTGATGTCATTGTCGAGGTTGAGGCAAAGTGACGAGTCGGATTTAGCGTGTGTTCGGGAGAGCCGTTAATTGCTTTTCGCGATGCGTTTAGTTTGGAACCGGAATCTTCGGGCTAGCTGGGTACTGAAACTATTCGAAAAGTTGACGTTGGTCGAGTGTTGATGGAGAAGCGGAAGACTTGTAGAACATTTGCTTGCTATTCAAACTCTTTCTTGCTGCGGCCGCTACCGACCGATCAGCGATGCAGTGCAGGCTCGGTGGCCATGACCAACAACCTGCATGGTGTTGCTGCAAGCTGCAAGGGGATAGCGGGGCAGTCGGACAGTAGTAGTCGAGCTGTCCGACGGACCATTTCTAGCTTTTTTCTTAGTCCCGACGCGTACCATGTTTTGAAGTAAACAACGGACGAAGCTTGTTTATACTGTATGCATGAGTCTTGTGTCTTTTAACAAGTTCCGGCAAGTTCCCACCGGCCCCAACAAGTGATGGTGGTGCGAGGTAAGCGTGTGTATACTGGGATGGCTTGTTGCAAGAATCTGGAGTGACTAAAATAGCTGCGAGATGCCATCGCGTTCGTATTTAGCCAGGGGGATGCCGACAGAAGAGTGCGATCTGCTGCTGGGTTCAGCAAAGTTGCACCTGAACAACTGTTTGCTTCTTTTTCCCCCGCCTTGTTGTCGGCGGGTTACCGGCGGCAGAAGCAATGGATGGCTGTCATAGCGGGTGCGTCCATGGGATTGATCTCATCGCACTGGCTGTGACCTGGGACGCCTCAGGACTATCGGCGGCCTGGTGCATTGTGCCTGCGTTAATGCGTGGACTGCCTAGACATCAATGCGTGGACTGCCGCATGGCTCTGGTGACAGCACCCGTGGAGCCCAAGTACGCGCCTGTACGACGACGTGTTGCTGAAGAAAAAGAAAAACGCAAACGCATTCTTGTGGGATGTCATATGATGAGTGCGGGAGCCGTTTATGTCGGTGAATCAGGCGCTCTGTGCTGGTGCGGAGATATAGCCCTGGCCAGCTCCCGGGCTGCGCGTACTGTAGTTAACAGGGGTTGCCGTCGCTTCGTGTTTCAGGTCTCCACGCTCTTCGTCAGTCGCCTTCACCCATCCTCCCTCTCAGCTTAAGCTTTTGAGGGTGCTAGGCGGATTGCAACGGTACATGTTCCTGAAGCGTCCATTTGCCTCGACGCACAGCGCTGCCCCAATGGCCGGTTATCCGCCTCTGATACTCGACGGATCCCTGATTTGAATTCATGACCCCTACTTCGCTTTGACCTCCTGGAATCACGCTCGTCGACTGCACCCGCGACGACAACGCCGTCTCCTCGCAGACGACGACACGCACGGCTTTGAGAGTCTGCACCGCGAAGCGTCTCTTCCTGGCCGACTTGCACCATCATGTCGCTGAACGGCCTGGACAATGTCGAGGTAACACAGGCGTACCAGGGTGCGCTCGCCGAGGCTGGTGGTTGGTAAGACATGCCCAATTTCTTCTTCCATCGCGGACCACGTGCTAATGCTTGGGGTAAAGGTTCCTGCTCAGGTACACGTCAAGGGATGGCGTTCAAGTCCTGACACGGGGAACTGGGGGAGCCGGTGAGGCGCGCGCTGCCGTCGCCCAGTACGAGGAAAAGTCTCCGCTGTACGGGCTCCTGCTGTACCGTCGGCGCAAGGTCCTGGTCAAATACGTGCCTGAGGGGACATCGCGACTACTGCAGGGTGAGTTGAAGCGTCAATCCCGTCACCCTCACCACTAACCCTCGACAGCCCGCGTTAGTGTCCACTTCATCAACATCACCGAGAAGTTTGCGCCCCACGACATCGTCCTGTCCATTTCCACGCCAGAAGAGCTCAGCGATGCCGCCCTTACCGCCGCCTGCAGTCTGCACACTGCCGCCCCATCGAGCTCCTCGTCTAGCGGATCGTCGCGACAGCAGAAGCTCAGCTGGATACAAGAGGCCGCAGAGGAGGGAAACCAGCCCGACGGAGAAGGCAATGCAGCACGACCGGGCACAGCAAAGTCCAACATCCCCACCATTCTGGAGCCTGCCACGGGCAGCGAAGACGAGCCTATTAGAAGCGGATCAGTTGCGTCGCAAGCAGAGACGGTCCCGTTGATGTTGGAAGAGAAGGCTGTCGAGCACAAGTTGTCACCACAGATCTCGCACGTCACCATGGAGACGGTAACCGAAGGGCCGACGACGCCCGACGACACTGATCTATCCGACCTCCAGGACACGCTCAAGAGCTATGATTCGCTCTTTGAGAACGGACCAGAACCGCGAGGCTCATCACAAACCACCAGGCCAAACTACGACGAGCTTTACCAGCACTACTATGAGCAGTACACCAAGCCCAAGGTCAAACTCGGACCACGACCGCGACCATCGCTCGAAGGCCGAAGACCATCTACCTCTGGCAGCGCACCGTCAGATCTGGCAAGGCCTGTTTCGTCGCTTCCCGCAGGCTTGCGCTCTGCAACACGAAAGACTGCTAATAAGAAAGAGTCCAAGACAAACTCCTCTAGCACCCTCCCCACCATTGCTATTCCTCCACAACATGACGTCCCTCCGATGCCTGACATGCCACTGTCTCCTGCTTCGTCCATGTACTCAACGAGAGCCCCAGCCAGCACCAAGTCCATGCCCGTGTCCGCGTACAAGAGTCACCTTCGGTCTGGAGGAACGACACAGGAAAGGACAAGGCTTATGAAGGCTGTCGAGATGCGCAAGAAACAACAACAGGCTCAACAGCTAAAGAAAGAAAAGGCCGCCGAAGCTGCTGCGTTGGAACCTGAAGCGCAGGCTGAGGACACCGAAGTTGTGACTGAAGCTGGTGACGAGAACCCGGCAAAATCTGCCGTTCCTGCGACTGAGTCTGAGGAGAGCACTCCCACGGTACAGACAGATGACGAACCCGAAGCCGACAAAGAGACACTGCTTGGTGATGATCTGCCTTCAAACCGTCCAAGCAACTCCGGCATGGCGTTTGCGGATGGTCAGAACGAGACAGACGACTTGAACTCCACTGCTTCGGTGTCGTCACCAATATCTGCACAAACTCATGGTTCTTCTGGCGCACCTTCAACACGACCATCATCCATCTCAGAAGACGAGGCAGGTATGGAAGAGTCGCAAAAGTCCGAGGAAAACGAAGAATCACACAGTCCGGATTCCTTGGATGAAGAGCAATCGATCGACAGCGCACCGACTGTAGTCCCTGAGAGTACTACTCCTGTACCATCTGCAGAACTCCACCCTGAGCATACACAAGCCCCGGTCATCACCGAACGAGCACCGTCTTTTGATGAGGATGGAAGTAAAAGAGATACCCTGCGGCCAAGTGAGAACGATGCTCCATCGCAGCACCGCTCGAATCGGGAGTCCACAATTTACATGCCTTCGAGCGAAGCGTTCGAGCAAGACGATGGCCAGGTCAAGAAGCGAAACAGGGAGTCCATGCTTATGCCCTCATCCCAGCACCAGAGTTGGTACGAAACCAAGGGAAAGCGACGTGCAGTATTGGATCCACTGCAAGTCAGCGCCGACAATTCCGAGACCGAGTACCTCTCGGACGACTCCTTCATGGAAGAGCTCCAAAGCGCTACAGTACACCAAGCCAAACCCATGTCGGTGTCCAAGTCTCCGATTACGCCCTTCTTCCCGCGCAAGTCCTCTGCAACAGACCTGTCAACACCTCCCAGATCAGCCTCTTCGAATTACCACGGTATCAGTCGCTTATCACCTGGAGAGAGCACCCGTAAGGTTTCAGGCGGTTGGCCTCCTGCGCCAAAATCCGACACGAGCGCGCGTACGAAGATCAACGTTTCCTCTGGCATCTCGCAAAGAATCAAAGCGCTTGCAGACAAGACTAACAGAGAGTCGGCTTCACAAGTAAGCCTTGCTAGCTCTGCTTTGAGCACAAAGAGCTCTACCCTCGCCCAGCGTAAATCCTCATTCTTTGCAACAACACCTGTCGAGACCTCACCCAACGGGAGGTCTAGCACGCGTCTTGGAAGTCCTGCGTTCTTGAGTTCATCTGCTTCAACGACGCCTGACAAAAAGAAACAATCGGCTCCGATCAAGTCGACAGTATACAACGTACAGCGAGGAGCCGAAAAGCCAGAGTCTGTGCAGGTCACTGCCCGCATCGTCCGGGATGAGCGAACCATGAAGCCAACACTTGCGATGCCAACTGAGGGCACGCCCCTTGATCTCCACCAAAGCCCACTCATCATCGACCACCAAAAGGCAACCATCACCCCCAAGAGCCCTACTCGTGGAAGACCTGAGCCTGCATCTCCTCCGCCCTCTTCGTCACACTCACGCGAGCCTAGCAATGCGCCCTCACGTGCATCGTCAGAGAGTACATGGAGGAGCTTCGGTCGCCGCATGAGCGAGTCCAAGTCGGTACACAGCCATGATGGCGAAGACAAAAAGGATGACAAGAAAGAGAAGAAAGACAAGAAGGATTCTCGCACCAGCAAGATGTTCAAACGCATGTCTTCTTCGATGGCTGCCATGTCCTTCAAGAACTCGAGCAGCAACTTGACACTTCCCGAGAACGACATGCGCTCTACTTCTTTGGCATCACTGCGGGAGCCGCCGCCACCTGTGCATGTTGGCGATCTGAACATCCAATTCCCGGACACTCTGGTGAGTATATTTATAAATAGTAACTTTCGAAGACATGCTAACCTGGTGCAGCTCTGGAAACGCCGATGGGTCGAGATTGACGCCCTAGGTAACCTCGTGCTCAGTCCTTCGAAACACAATGAGAAGGGCATTGTGAAGCGCTTTCACCTCAGCGACTTCCGCACGCCATACCCACCTGATCAGGATCGACAAGAACTTCCCAATAGTGTAGTCCTCGACTTCATGGACGGACGAACCTTGCAGTGCGCATGCGAGACATACATGGCGCAAGCTCAGGTTCTACAAAGTAGGTCTTTGTCCTCCAATTCCTTGTGTCAGGTGCTAACTATTGTCTAGTCCTCCGGGAGG